CCCCAAAACCCCAAAACCCCTTTATTCAAAATAGTGAAAAGAATAGATATATTTCTTCAATCTGTCTATGTAGAATTTAATAATTAAACCAAGAAACTTCAAATAAAAATGTTTGATTAACTGGATAATATTCGAAAAGCTAAAAGAAATGTTAAATTGGAAGATAATACTGATAACACTAGACGAAGAATTATGCTGCATGGATAAATTTTCCAGAACATAAACTTTACTAAGGTTATCAAGGAAGATTTTTAAAAGTTTCTTGAGGAATAGGGAGACATATTCTAACTTCTTGAAAATAAGGCATTGAATAAAAACTAACGTCTATAAGGAACTCGACTGAGTAATTCGTAATCGCCTGACAGGAAGGCAAAGACAAGAATTCTGAATGAACTTGAAAAATCCTTGTTAATTTATGACCCTAACATTCTAGATGCCTCTGATTTAAGGTTTGATACCATTGCAAAATATAAAACTTTGAGAAGACATGATTTGATAACTCATGATCAAATAATGTAGAAAGTGCTTCGAAGGAGATCAATAAGATGATTGGTTTTGGAGGATGAAATAGAGGATCTTTCAGAATTAGAAGATAATTTAGATGGAAAGCATGATTCAGAGGGTAATGAAAATGATTCAAACGAGGAGACTTATGGCAGCAGTGATAGCAGCTTCGATTCTCAGGCAAGTAAAGTAGCATTTTGGAAAGACATTAATACAAAGGATTCAGATTACAAAAATGCAGTAATCCTAAAACGAATTAGAGATAATCAAGATAAGCAGTATAAAGGCAACCAAAGAAGAAATCAGCGAGATTTAAAAATGGATAAAGATAAAATTCAAAGAATAAAAAACAATCTGAGAATTAAGGATAACTACTATTCTAACCAGGAGAATTACACACAAGATAAGATCAATAAGATTAAGCAAGCTCACATTGTAGAAATCAGAAATATAAAGAACCTTTCAGTCTAGTATGCAATAGATTACTTCAAGTAGAAGAGTGAGGATTTAAACAAGATATTTACTGAAGAGATATTTGAAATTTTGGATTAGTATGACATACTTCGGCAGAAGCACAATTAAAAAGAGCAAAGAATCAGCAGGCTGAATGAAATAGTAAAACATCAAGAGAAGATCCTGTCTGAACTTTAAACATTTTTTCATGCATCTTTGTCTCAAGTCTTTGATAAGACATTTAAGTACAAGTACGAAATTTTGAATGCATTTCAGCTTAAAAACTTTGGAATGCCAATGAAAGCTATTGTTTAAAATGATCCCTTTTAACTATACTGCTCATACTCAAATATTTACCGTCCTATGAAGTATGAAAATAAGCATGTTTCTTACAAAGTGAAATATGACATGATGAAAGAACAAAATAGTGAACTTCTTAATGAATTGGATAGCATCAATAGTATTTGTGAAGTTTATATTAAACAAGGAGAAGAATTTCAAAAGAATCTTACAGCTATAAAAAGTGAAAAAGTCTAAATGGAAAGTAGTTTTACCAATCAAATAGAAGATCTAAAAAAAGAGATATAAAATTTACAGAAAATCAACATTGAGATGAATCAGTATCATAAAAAGAGGGAAGAATAGATTATATCTTTATTCAAGACTGAGACTGAAGTAAATGAGGCTATTATAAAGTATCTCACTGGGGAAAAAGAGATATTAATAGAAGAATTAAAAAAGATCAAAACTATATTAAGAGTTCCTTGACTTTATAGTAAATATACAGATATGGTAAAGCAGTAGGAGCAAGGTAAATTACTTGAACATATAAATTAAAAGAAAAATAGTAAGATGAGCGATAGCAGAATCTCAACAAGACTGGATACAGTCCAAGAATCAACTTATGGTAGTATTGATTTTAGGCATCAACCAAGGCCGTCTTCATAAGCAATGGACAGATTTATATTTAGAAAACTATCAAAGTCAAAATCATAGCAAAAATCTAGAAATCAATACCTATTTAGAAGAAATCTGAATAACAATACTACTATCTCAATCATAAATGACTCTACTGATTAGATAAACTACTCAGAGAACTTTTAATCTAATTCAATAGATTCACTTGAATCTTTTGAGAGGTAAATACCAAGAAAATAGATGAAGTATGATGAAAACTCTTAAATTTTTGAGAATTCAAGCAATCTTGATACAATTTTGAGAGATCAAAATTCTGTAACATTAGATCATAAAAGACCCAAGTCTAATGAAATGTAGGGATACGGAAGATACTGGAAATAGCGTCAGAGGCAAAAGTATTAGGACTTTTCAATGAACGACTTATCTCTATTGCAGTTTGCTGATCAGACATTTATGAGAACACACAGTAAAAATGATACAGCATAGCATAAAAATAGAGCATTTTTGAGCAATTAATTCTCAACTCAACTAGTTTAGAGATTTGGGAAGAGATAAGATCTTTTCAACTATATGTCAAACAGGAGGAGCGATATTCCAGTAATATAGCATTTAAGTAAAAGTAGTAGGGATAGATATCTTTGGACGCATGGAAAAACTTAACTGTCTTAGCAAAGACAAATAATTTGATAATCATAATAATCTTAATTTCATAAGTACCAATTAAATTCAATCTTAATAATTGGGGTTTTGGGGTTTTGGGGTTTTGGGG